AAGAAGGCTGGAGCGGTGGTGGTGTCAGTTGGGTAAGCAAACACAAGAATCTTGCAGTCACACAAGAATATGGAAATATGGCAATTCGAAGAAGTATTATGTGAACAATATGTAAAACATTGCTTTCATGTGAGTCTTATCATATGGTTAGAATTATGACTAATGGAAAAATCCTGTCCTCAGGTATGAGCAGCAGAAGTCGGGATTCTCTGTGTGATTGGTAGGCTTGCTCTCTGTGATGGAGGGATCAAGTGAGGAGCTTCGCAGTTGGGCAGTATTTTGGGGTACAGACACTTTTCCTTAGAATCAATATGTGCCATGTGAGATTATCTGACCATCTTATATTAATGTTGTCTGGAACTGAGTAAGCTTGTTCAACTGGGAGGTGGTCACAGGGACAGAACCAGAGAATACTAAAGGAATGAGATCTCCCAGCTTACCTGGAAACAACTTGGGTTGGAGTCTGTTGCCAAGAAAAGGAGTGTCTAGTGTGGCCTTTAAATCTGTTTCCTTCATGATCCTTGGTTCCGCCGGCCTGCTGGACCAGTGTCCGAAGCTCCTTCTCCCCTAGGCTCCACGGTCTAAGAGACATTCCACAGCGGAGAGATGCAATCGCTTACTGCCGCAGGAAAGAGGATCAGGTAAGTGTATATACTTTACTTGAGCCCCCTAGACCAAAATTGGCACTTAACCTTTGCTGTGTAAGGTTATCTCCACTGCAAGGGTAAGTTTTTAAATTCCCGGAGTTCGTCTTTAAAACTCTTCATAGACCAGTCATGAATCCTGACATTTCTTTTAGGTATCGGCTTGCACCAGAACACAAGTACCCTGCAGCATTTGAAGATTGCCTGAATGCTACAATCCATTTCCTGAAGACTGCACAGGATTATGGCGTTAATCCCTCTTCTGTTGTAATCTGTGGGGACAGCGCAGGTGGAAATCTCACGGCCGGTGTGTCGCAAGCTCTTGTGACTAGGAAGGATATTCCAAAACCTCTGGCTCAGGTGCTAATATACCCCATGGTCCAAATGATTGACTTCAACTTACCTTCTTACCAACAAAACAGCGGCACTCCTCCTTTAGTACGAGAACAAGCCTTGTTCTCCACGCTACATTATATGGGAGAAAGGATTCGGTCTGTAACTACAAATAAAGTACAAAATGGTAGCCATGTCCCTCCTGATCTGAGGAAGAAATTCTCTAAGTGGCTAAGTGCTGATAATATCCCAGATGAGTTCAAGGTCACGGGGTACAAGCCACACACCATGTCTGCCTTTGACAAAAACGTCTATGAAAAAGTCAAGCAACTTTTTGAACCTCCGTGCTCCCCGCTGGTAGCTGAGGACTCTGTGTTTCGCCTACTACCAAAAGCTTATATCTTAACATGTGAGTTTGACGTTCTCCGCGATGAAGGCATACTCTACAAGAAACGCCTGGAAGACAATGGGGTGTCAGTCACTTGGCACCATATTAAAGATGGCTTCCATGGAATCATCAGCTTTTGCGATCAGTGGGATTGTGAATCGGGGAAACGGGCTGTGGACAGTTTTGTTAGTTTTATAACAGATACCTGATGTATAAATGTGTTCTGAACATAAATGTAAACATCTGTATAATAAAATAGAATGATGAACCAATAAAAAGGAAGTTCCACATCTACTGATTATTCAATGCGCTTTTAAATGCCTTACATTAGCTTTAGGGGTGCAGACAGTGATGCCCGACTCTATGGACCTAGGTATACCTGATGCTTTCTGTAGCCTTAACCCTACTGTATCACCCCCCTGACCCCCAAAGGCCTGATGTGGACCCCCAAAGGAAGGGAGGGCTGACATTTCACTCTCAGGGGTGTATCTTTAGCTGGGTTGTTGAATGTGAACAGTAAACTGGGGTCCAGTCGCGAACTATAAGGACTTTTTAGAGGCTTTATCAAAGAACAGCCAAACTGAGAGAGCGGGTATAGGGCTACAGACATCCATTGCAAAAACAGACTCCAGATTCACCAATCCCTTCAGGCTTCCACAGTGTAGAAATACTTTAGTTGCGCAGAGGATGTCACTGTGTCGTAGAGCAACTGAATAGGGATGTGCATTAGATCTTCACTGGGAGAGTCACTAGACTTGTTCCTGAGGTCCATGCCATCCTGGCCTTCCTGACACCTCCAGAGGTCATAGGGCTCCTCTGGTTCTCCTCGCCAGTTAGTTCCAGACCCCTCCTGGGTCCACATGTGGTCTCCTGTAGGTTTGAGGCACAGTCAGCTTTTCCACCCTTGTACATCCCACCCTCTGGTTAAGCCCAGGGGTGAATTGCCTGAGCACATGGCAATTCCTGAGTATTTATGCACTTCCCCAGCATGCACCACTGGCCATGAAACATCTAGTAATTGGATAGTGAGGGATAGACACTCCTAATGTTCCCTTATTGGCTGCCGCACTCTGTGGCAGGGTCACACCCTACTCAGAGGTAGGTGCAATCAATAGCAGAACACAAGGTCCTAGACTAACCAAATGATATCAGGCTACAAATCAGCCAGACTGATTACAGTGCTAGCAACACTAGATTTAGGTAGCCACTCCACTTAGGGTGAAAGGAGCTATACTACCACTAACCCTCACTGTAACTGTACCCCAACACTAACCCTTTCTGCAATTTAACACTAGCCCTCATACTAACCCTCCATGTAACCCTTAACCCTTCCTATAACCCTAACACTAACCCTTCTGGAAACCCTCACATTAACCCTAACTAACTCTCTCTTTAACTCTAATCATCCCTGTATTTCTAAACCTAACCATTCCTGTAACCGTAACCATCCCATTAGCCCTTCATATAACTCTTACCCTAAAGGTGACCATACACTTTACAACCCTCGCAAGACTTTTGTCTTGCGAGGGTTGTAAAGTACTTTAAAAAACGTACGATCTGCCCATCTTGGACAGGCAGATCGTACTTGCGATCATTGCAAGCCCACCCCTCAGGGGCGCTGGCTTCCGATAACTGTAATGAGGGGCGGGCTTACGATGACTGTAATGAGGGGCGGGCTTACGATGACTGCAAACGGGCAGAGTGCGTGTGCGCACACCGGCTCGTTCGGCAGTTGTCGAACATGCAGGCCAGTAACTCGCCGAGAATCGTACGATTCTCTGCAGGTTTTCTAGCATGCTGGTTCCACGGAAGACGTGCGACCGTACAGTAGAAACGGTCGCACGCCTTCCATACACTGCACGATCGTACGATCGCGTGATTTCCCACGATTCTCGTACGAGAATCGTGCAGTGTATGGGCACCTTTACTCTCCCTGTTACGCTAACCCTCCTGTAACCCTGACACTAACCCTCCATGTAACTCTAAAGGTGCCCATACACTGCACGATTCTCGTACGAGAATCGCGGGAAATCCAGCGTAAGCCCGCCCCTCATTACAGTCATCGGAAGCCCGTCCCTCAGGGGGGCGGGCTTGCGATGATCGCAAGTACGATCTGCCTGTCCAAGATGGGCAGATCGTACGTTTTTTAAATTACTTTACAACCCTCGCAAGACAAAAGTCTTGCGAGGGTTGTAAAGTGTATGGCCACCTTTACACTAACCCTCCATGTAACTCTAATAATAACCCTCCCTGTAGTCCTAACACTACCCCATCAGCTTCTTTGGTGATCCATAGGTGATATTAGGGGTCTAATAGACCCTCTGATGTCTCCATAAAGAGGACCTGTCACTTGTTAGCCCCCTATGTGATAGCAATAAAGTTAAGTGTAAAGAAAAGTTTAAAAAAAAAAGTCCCATATAAAAAAAGAAAAATTAAACACTAAAAACTCTGTTTAAAGTCCTCAACATACAAGCACATAAAAACGGAAACACGCGTCAAGTGCGCCTACATTTGAAAATGACCACCAGACATGTTACATATCACTGCGAATATCGAATATCACTGTTAACACTAAATTGATAAGCGATAAAAGCCTATAAAGCATCGCATATGGCCAATTTTGGTAGTTGTTTGCGATTTTGCATGTGCATGCAATTTTAGGACTTGACATATTTGGTATCTACCTGACCTAACCCCATCTTTTATATTTTACAAAAAATTGGGTAATAATAAATGTTTCATAACATAATATAGGGAAACAGTTTTTTTCCCCAAAATTGTCTGTACTTACTGTATTTCTTTATATAGTACATAATAAAACCCCCAGTGGTGATTAAATACCACCAAAAGAAAGCTCTATCTGTCCCCAAAAAATGATATAAAATTCATTTCAGCACAGCGCTGCATGACGGAATAAATGTCAGTCAAAGTACCGCAGCGCGGAATAGTGAAAAATGGCCTGGCCAGGAAGGGGGTTTAACACCTCGGTCTTCAATTGGTTAAGGGCTCATTCACACCACACTGCACATAAAAATGCATACGCTGGTGTGCATTAACCTCCTTGGTGGTAATCCCGAGTGTGGCTCCGGGGTTAATTTTTAGCACCATAAGCGGTAACCCCGAGCCACACCCGGGATAACAGCGTAGCGTTACTTACCTTGTCCCTCGAGCCGCGCTGTGTCCTCCGGCCGATGCCGGCATACGTCTTCCAGGTTCTGTCCCTTGCGAGCGTCCGCGTCGCAAGGGGGCGAAACCGGCGGGAATTTTAAAAATAAAAATAACGGGGGAAAAATAGAATAAAAAAAGGAAAACAAAAATAAAAAATCAGACCGCCAGGGAGGTTAAAGTGCTTTAGCGTGTGTTTTTTAAATGAGTTTTACTGCACATTGAACTTCGTTTTAAATGTATTTTTATCCTTTTGTTTTAACATTTTGAAAAGAAGGAAGGAAGCAACCTAGCACCACATATTGGAGTCATGTATCTGGATGGAGATCCTTGGCTATGACAGACACTTATCCTATAGCAGTGGGGGAATAAGCTGCAATAGTGTTTTATAGTTGCTAGGTGGCGATCATTCTTTGATAATCCCGGAAATAAAAAGTCTAAAGTTTATTGTTTGTTCAGGGTCGAGGACAGCGGCAGTGATCCTGAAAGCTAAGGACAGTGGGAGCAATGTTGCTGCTTGTGATAGGGGTTTTCCTCTTGCTCTGCACCCTGCTCTTTGTGGGCACTGTTTACCATGAATTCTCTACAGCTGAATTTCCAACAGGGATTGCATGTCGCACAGAGCTTCGAAAACTCCATGGACTTGTGACTGTTTTTTCAGTCCTGGTGAGTTCCCTATGGTGATCTTAAAGTGCTGCTCTACCCAAAGCAAATATTTCAGTGTTTGGGGGACGCCGAAACTTTAAACCACTGAAAAGTTTTTTTTTTATATATATATCTCTTATGGACTCTTCTGGTGAGGTTCCTGGGTCTGTAAACCTTCTGTGGCTATTTGGAGGGTCTCCCACTGCCTCTGTTAGTAGTTTTTTATACATTTTTTTATATCATGGAGAATGTAATAAAATGAGCTAGGCCGGAACACCCAAAACTCCCAGATGGATGAGTTCAGACTTATGTCAAGGAGGACATAAAGGTTTACAAAACATAAAAATGTATAAAGCTAAATTTAATCTGAGCTAATAATAGTTTCCAGCGTAATGAAAGTTTTAGCTGTACTTATGTTATTCCAAATGTGTGTTTACATTGGCAGACCTTAGCACACCTCAGTTGCTTTGTGGAACAACAGGTCTTGTCACCTGGGAGAGCAAAGCATTTTTGAACATTGCCGCGCAGCCACCGAAAAGCTACAGTCTGATTGGGCAACCTCAGATCATGTGCCATGATTCACTTGCCAGAAAAAATGAAAATCTGTTTTTCAACTGCTGTGGGCTCTGTCTACTTGTAAAATACGTGCAGCTTCTCAAAGATTCTGTAAACATCCATCTTATTATAAGGTTCCGTTATACTGAATCCTAGACTCCTTTTTTAAAAGTCTGGTAATATTTCCAGTGTGAAAAGTCCAAACCCTGGCACATCTGAACTTTCCCCTAACTGAACTTCTGGATAAAAGTGTGAAGAGACCTGGCCATTACACCTATATCAACTTGGGTTGGGTGCTCTGTTCCAAAAGCATAGAATGCCCCTCCATTCTTTTGGGAAGGATTTTCCGTAAGAGTTTGGAGTGTGTCTGTAGGAATTTGTGCCCATTCAGCCAAATGAGCCTTTTTTAGGTCAGGTACTGATATTGTATGATCCGCACAATATTTGGAGAACCAATACATTTATTTATATTGCTTCAATACAAGACCCCCAAAAAATTAAAACCTCCAAGATATTTTTTTCCTTTGACTTGTAACTACGATTGCATTCCTCTAACTTGTTTATACTTTTTTTCCCTAACTAGGGGAGCACCCTTGAAAAACTTGGAGTTTGGTCCGAGCTTGGTGTTCTTCGCCTTTTGGGAAACCTGTATCCGATATGTTCAGTAGATGATCCGGAGCTCTTCATAAAGATTTTGAAATTTGAAGGCGTACCTGTGAGAGTTTACCAGCCCAGAGAGTCCTCTGCTGGAGGCAGAAAAGGAGTGATGTTCTTTCATGGAGGAGGCTTCATATTTGGAGATAGTGGTAAGCAAAAGAGAAAATGTTTCCTGCCACAGTTAGATGCTAACTGTTATTTTTCATGTCTCTGCTTAACGCTGCAGTAATGGGTGAGAGTCCATTTTTAGGACATTGACAGGTCATATTGCCAAAGTGACATACAGAGGTTCTTCTGCAACAAAAGCCTTCCTGCTAGCAAGTTTTCTTCTACATCAAAGTTCCACTTTTAAACAGTTCCGTTGCAAAAATGAAAGTGAATCTCCTGGTCCCTTACAGTGCTCAGATCTTCTGCTCTTTGACAATCCTTGGCAGTTCTCAGATCTCCTGATTCCTGGCAGTGTTTAGATCTCCTGGTCCCCATCAGTGCACAGATATCCTGGTCCTCTGCCGTGTACACATCTCCTGGCCTCCCACAGTGTTCAGATCTCCTAGTCCTCCGTAGTGCTCATATCTCCTGGTCCCCCACAGTGCTCAAATCTCCTGGTCCCCCACAGTGCTCAGATCTCCTTGTCCCCCACAGTGCTCATATCTCCTTCTCCCCTGCAGTGCTCAGATCTCCTGGTCCCCCACAGTACTCAGATCTCCTGGTCCATGGCAGTGCTCAAATCTCCTGGTCCCTCGAAGTGGTCAGATCCCCTGGTTGCACATAGTGCTCAGACCTCATCGCTCATCGCTAAAGTTCTGAGTGGTTCCTTCCACCGACCCCTTTGTCAATATTGTGTCCTATAGTAATGTAGCAGTTGGCATGAGGAGCCAGTAAGCGCCACAAGGGATAAGGAGAATAAAAAATCCTGGAATTTTCAGTTTCTGAAGAGCCTTCAGGTGGCAATTTTTCTTTTTCTCAAAATGGCATTCTTTGGTGCAGGTGGAAGGAGAGGTAAGTATTTACTTTGCTTTGCATTTTTCTTACAGAGTTACTTTAAGATTAGAGATCCTGATACAAATTTTAATTCTTTAGTTCTTAGCAACATTATTCAATTGATCGTTTTTATTTTAACCAGGTGGAACCAGGTGGAAGGATGATGACAGGTAAACATCACCACCTTATCTTAGTGTCCTTATTTATTTATTTAAGATATTTAAGATATCGATGACAGACTTTGCCACCACATATCAAAGAAGGCTGGAGCTGTGGTGGTGTCAGTTGGGTAAGCAGTCTTGATTTCTCTTTAATTTCTTCTATTGCTATTCAAACACAAGAATCCTCTAATCACACAAGGATACATAAAATATATAGTATATGTCTTCACGTAAGTATTATGTGAAAATTGCTTTCATGTGAGTGTTATCATATGGTTAGAATTATGACCAGTGACAAAATCCTCAGGTGTAAGCAGGTTCCTCCACGTGCTTGGCAGGCTTAAGGTGCCCATACACCTGACGATTATCATCCGATAATCGTGGGTGATCCCGCAGCTGTTTGGGCAGCGTGCGACCGCACTTACTGTACGGTTGCACAACTTTTGTCTTACGAGCACCCTAGTAAAGCCGCCGAAAATTGTACGATTTTCGGTGGGTTGGTAGCACGATCGCAAGACAAAAGCCGCACTGGCCGGTTTTCGCAAGCGCACACTGCCCGCTCAGCATTGCAATCATCGGCAAGCCCTCCCCTCAGCGGGATGGGCTTGCGATGATCGCAAGAACGATCTGCCTGTCCAAGATGGGCAGTTCGTATGGAATTTGAATCACCTTACAACCATCGCACAACAAAAGTCGTGCGATGGTTGTAAGGTGTATGGGCAGCTTTACTCTCTGAGATGGAGGAATCAAGTTAAGACTCTGCCAGTTGAGTAGTGTCCTGAGGTACATCCACTTTTCCTTAGATTCAAAATGTGCCAGGTGAGGTTTTTTTTGTATTTGAGCATCTTATAATGATGTTCTCTTGAACTGAGTAAGAACATTTAACTGGGAGGTGGTCAAAGGGACAGAATGAGAACATACTAAAATAATTATATGTCCAAACTTACCTGGAAACAACTTGGACTGGAGTCTGCAGCCAAAAAAGGGGTGCCTAGGGTGGCCCTTAAATCTGTTTCCTTCATGATTACCAGAGGATCATTAATTTTTTTTCCAAGACTGCAGAAACATATTTCTGACATGACATAAGCAAGAGTATAATTGTTCAATATTAAAAGCAGTCCTTAAAAGAGAACTATGGGACAACCTTTTTATCCCATAGTTCTCGTTAGAGTCACGGGAGGACATATACTATCGTCCTCCAGTGACCCAAAATTGAGTATATAGTGGGCTATAATCCGCTATATGCTGAGAGCGCAGCAGCAGGGACGGAGCCCGATAATACTGTCGAGATCAGCAGGCTCTGTCTATCTAGAGGCAAAGCCAGCTATGCCCATCCATCCCTCCAGTCAGTGCTGGAGGATTGGAGAAGGGGGAATCCCCGCTGTCGGCAGTGAGAGGATCGGGAAGTGAGAGAACGGCAATATGTTTTCGCTTACTTCCTGGTCAATAGAGCCAACCTGTGACAATTTCAATGTCACACGTCGGCTCTAACTATGGGGATGAGTGTAATTCACTCACCTCATAGTTCTCCTTTAAGCTCCAGTGAGGGACTTTGCCTAGGCTGAGATGATGCCATCAATCTCCAGCAGGCAAGAGGAAGTGTTTGCTCAGTCTCTTTTCCCTCAGTGAAAGAGTGATAACTTGAAAGTAGGGATGCGCCAATACTGATACTAGTATCGGTGCCGATGCAGAGTATTTGGGCGAGTACTTGTACTTGCCCAAATGCTCCAATGCCTAGCCCCATACCTGAGCTTCCGGTATCAGGAAGCCAGGTAGCGAGTCATTACAGGCTGCCTTGCTTCCTGATTGGCCAGGAAGCCGACCTCATGATCCCTCATCACTTGGTGACGAGGGAGCATGGAGCCGGCTCCCCGGCCAATCAAAAAGCCGGGCAGCGTGTAATCTCTCGCCGCCTAGCTTCCTGATTGGTCGGAAAGACGGCCAATCAGGAAGCCGGATGGCGAGTCATTACACACCCCCCCGGCTTTCTGATTGGCCATTACACACCACCTGGCTCCCTTAATGGGACTTCCGGTATCGGTATTCGGTATCGGCGAGTACGGGAAAAAAATGGCACTCGTACTCGATAATGAAAAACCGGTATCGGTGCTTCCCTACTTGAAAGGGTTTAAAAACTGATGTTAATGACTTATTTTACAACTCAAAATACACCTAAATCAAGGGTAGGGAATCTCGCACTCCAGCTGTTGTGGAACTACATGAGGAACCCATGAGGCATTGCAAGAAGCCACAGGCATGACTCCCAGAGGCAGTGGCATGATACGATTTGCAGCTTCACCACAGCTGGAGTGCCAAGGTTACCTATCCCTGAAATATTTGTTAAAAAAGAACTTAAAAAACGTACCCTCGACCAAAATGAGCACTTAACCTTTGCAATGCAGGAGTAGCCCCGCTGCAAGGGTAAGTTTTTAAATTCCTGGACTTCTTTAATTCTGTTCTTAGACCATGGTCATGAGCCCTCACATTTCTTTTAGGTATCGACTTGCACCAGAACACAAGTACCCCGCAGGATTTGAAGATTGCCTGAATGCTACAATCCACTTCTTGAAGACTGCACAGGACTATGGTGTTAATCCCTCTTCTGTTGTAATCTGTGGGGACAGCGCAGGTGGAAATCTCACGGCTGGTGTGGCGCAAGCTCTTGTGACAAGGAAGGGTATTCCAAAACCTCTGGCTCAGGTGCTAATATACCCCCCAGTCCAATTCATTGATTTCAACTTACCTTCCTACCAACAACACAGCAGCGCGCCTCTATTAGTCCGAGAACAAGTCCCATATATTGTGCTAAATTATATGGGAGAAAAGGTTCGGTCTGACATAAAAAAAAAATACAAAATGGTAGCCATGTCCCTCCTGATCTGAGGAAGAAATTCTCTAAGTGGCTAAGTGCTGATAATATCCCAGATGAGTTCAAGGTCACGGGGTACAAGCCACACACCATGTCTGCCTTTGACAAAAACGTCTATGAAAAAGTCAAGCAACTTTTTGAACCTCCGTGCTCCCCGCTGGTAGCTGAGGACTCTGTGTTTCGCCTACTACCAAAAGCTTATATCTTAACATGTGAGTTTGACGTTCTCCGCGATGAAGGCATACTCTACAAGAAACGCCTGGAAGACAATGGGGTGTCGGTCACTTGGCACCATATTAAAGATGGCTTCCATGGAATCATCAGCTTCTACGATCAGTGGGATTGTGAATCGGGGAAACGGGCTGTGAACAGTTTTGTTAGTTTTATAAGGGATGCCTGATGTATACTTGTGTTCTGAACATAAATGTAAACATCCGTATAATAAAATGGTATGATGACTGTCAGGATACCGTGCTCGGGTGTCCCCGCACCGCATGCAGGTACCCACACAGGAGGACCAAATGCGTGACCACACCAGACAATGTTTATGAGCACACAGTTTATTCAACTCACCGAAAACAAATGACCACAAGCAAGTAATAATAGCTAACTAAATGCAAATACAGTCACATACAAAAGGGCAAGTGAAACCTGGGGAGCAAGGCAATACAAGGGGAGCCACTGAGTAATGGTCAGGGTACAAGGGGGCACCAGGATACAGGAATCAGGTCACAGGAAACAGGATGCAGGAAATGGCGACAATACTGTGGCAAAATCCCCACTGCAGGGAGGGATTAAATACCCTCCCAGGTAACACCAGGTGGTGATTAATTGCACAGACACCTGCAGGTGAGCCCCGGAGCTGCAGGTCCTGGTTCCAGCATCACAGTGCAACCTGGAGGTGCTCAAGTCCCAGACTACAACTGACTGCCTGGAGACACCTGCAGGTTTAGAGCTGGGCGTTTACAGTGCATGCCCTACAATAAGGACCTAGTTATACTTCATGCTTCCTGTAGCCCTAACCCTGCCACCAACCCTCACTGTAACTGTAATTATAACATTAATCTTTATATCAACCCTCCATGTAATCTTAACCCCTAATGTAACCCTAACACTTCCTGGAATCTATTACCCGAAC